CCTATTCAAGTTTGTTTTTGCACTTAACAAAGATCTAGCTCCCTCTTTAGATCCAAATTTTGTCATGAAATGTATTGTTTTATTACAAGTTTAAGGCAGGTGAAAGAGATGTCTAATTCCAACAGACTTAACAGTTGCTTGGCGTATAGGATTATATGGTTTAACACTAACTTTTTTCGAGTGATTTTATATGGATGTTGGTCATTGAGTTGCAGGTATTGGCAAGTATGCTTAGAGTATTAGCCAACTCAAAATACAGTTGTATGCCACCCTATTTATGTCTTCAGTTTTGAGTTAATTGGGTTTTTGCTAATAATTTGATATATCGTGAAGAAGTAGTCATCTTTAAATGTAAATTGATTCATTTCTTCATTTTCTTAACTTGAAAACAGTCATCTTTAAATGTAAATTGATTCATTTCTTCATTTTCTTAACTTGAAAACAGATCTTCATACAAATCTCTTACCTCTTTGAGGCGCTATTCTTGGAACACGATGAGATGACAACCGCTAACGAGGTATGATTTTTTTTTTGCTCAAAAATAAGTTTTGTAGTTTACGTGAAAAAACTTCAATTTTTTGGTTCAAGAAACTAATGAGTTTGTAATGAGTTTATGTTGTTTACTCAAGAAAGAGTATTTAATTTCTTGCCAAGAAACTGGTTTATTGACAAGAAACTAGTTTCTTGAGCAAAACATGTTTCTTGAATAAGAAACATGTTACTTGCCAAGAAACCAGTTTTTTGTCAAGAAACCAGTTTCTTGGTAAGAAAACGGAAGTTAAATATTCGTTCTTGAGTAAACAACATAAAACTCATTATAAACTCAAGAAACCAGTTTCTTGGCAAGAAGCATGTTTCTTGACAAGAAACCCGTTCTTTGCTCAAGAAACTTGTCTTTTGATCAAGAAGTTTGTTTCTTGTCAAGAAACCTGTATTTCGAACAAGAAACTGGTTTTTAACCTGTTTTTGTAATATTGTGTTTTTAAAAAAATTCAAATAATATTGATTGTTTCATGATTGTTCGGGGGACTGTTGGAATTGGAGATGGGGTAAAGCTTGCACTTGGAGCGGCAAAATCAATTGTCAGACGAAGCCTAAAGTAATAGGCTATATTAAGAATCAATTAGGTGTTTGTGGCTGACCGCGCGTCGCAACGCGGCAAAATTAAAATTTATATTTTCCTCGACTAACATCTACTAACTAGTAGTAGTGGCAAGTAAGGGTCGATCCCACGAGAAGTGTGTATCAAATCGTTAATTTTCTTGTATTAATTGAATTTATTATGAAAGCAATAAAAAGAGGGGGGGGG